CACAGTCAGTGACCTCCTAAATCGTTTTAATATTTAAACTGTAAACAGTTCAATCAATGTTTGAGCCTTCTGCGTGCCCAGGGTTTGCTGACATTTAAACCGAAGCGAAACGTGACATGGAATATTAGAAGGCTCGACGCATCTCATAAGAAAACGCTTAGTGCTATTTTTCAGGCAATTTGCACTTAAGTTAAGGAGGCAGATAATCCATAGTGCATACGCATTGGAACTGTTTTTTAAAGCAATAGAGGCGAAAAAACACCAAATCCCAATATTCATTAGCAAAGAGAAATTCAAAACATCCCGATCAGCAGGTACAACTCTCCTACCAGCAAAAGCTTTTCCAGGAGACATCACTAAAAACACTTCCATCAGAAACTGATCCTTGCCACTTTAAACGAAAGTGGCCTTTTCGTACAAAAAGCGGTAAGTAACAGTCAGTGAGGAATTTAAATGTTACAGACGAGAAAATAACCTAGCGTTTGTCCAAAAGGTCGACTACAGTTCTTGCAAGGCAGCGCCGAGGTAAACCAAGAGGGAACTTAGCCGACAGATCACGGGCTATTCAGACAATGCTATTTTTCTCACTAAAGCGAACGCATTGATCAAATCAGTCCAGCACTATCCAGGTACCGGGAGGGTGCACGAAAGCCTTAGTTGATGGCCACTGTGAGTACGAGCAAGCTGTAGGGTGCACAAGAACCGGACCAAAACGCAATTTATAGATGGCACGTCTACGTTCGTCGGTTATCGAACGCATTGTTCAGCTATAAATAGGTTTACGAAACCCATATGCTCTTCAATGACCAACAGCACTGGCATGAGAGGCAAGATTCGACTAGACAAAACATTCAGGTTGAACCTGTGAACATAATTTTCACGTTGGATACTCTATCGGATAAATTGTCAGTGGTGTTGGTTATTTGCTGATGCAATAGTCATTTGGGTTGCTAAAAAAAGCGAACATGTGAGTCCCAGGAAGTAATTGAGAAGAAGAAGAATCGATCGCTGGGCTTAGACTTTTATTCGCCTGACGTTTCGAAATCCCACGCAGACTCTTGACTAGAGACCTCAGCAGAAAACAGGATCAGAAACGGGTCTGTTTTCTGCTGATTTTTCTGGTGAAGAATCCGCGACGGATGTCGAAACGTCAGATGAATAAAAGTCTTAGCCCAGCGATCGTATCTTCTTCTCAGTCATTTGGGTAGCAGTCCTAAGAGATGCGCATGATTTAAGTCACATACACTAGCCTAGAGGTGGTACCGACAAGAACAAGTATTGATTGTTCACTAGTTGGTCATATCCTCTACGGGCCAGGTTCGAACCCGGATTCTGTTTTCCACTTTAAGATGTAATACTATATATACTGTTAAGTCACGGACAAGCTACGACATCAGCATTCTGAAAAATTCAAATTCGTGTTGGAATGGCCTAGCAAGAGGGCAAACAGCCTGACTCCAGACTCTGGACCGGGCCGTACGTACTGCGCCCTACAATCAGGCCCTGCCTCGGCGGCTTTAAAAACGCAGGTAAGGTGAACGGTTGCACAGCGGTGGGCTTATTATCACACAAAGGTTGGTTTTGTTGGGTTGTCTAGGGCCTCCGCTTCGGACGGCAGCTGCTTGGGCTAAACCTTCACCAAAAAAAACTTACAACTGTCCCCATCAGTAACACGGCGAATGTGACTTGCGCAAAGACTTAAAGAATGCAAGAAGGCCAGTGGATAACAGAATGCCATTCTGAAAATCAAACAACATACTATCGCCAAATTCGAAGGCAGTGAAAGGTGGACATGGCGTGGGAGAAGGTGGTTCAGAATTATCCCGCGACATTTTCGGTCCGTGTCAAGTGGTAAAAAAGGCATTTCCCTAAGGCTAGTACGGGCAGAAATGTCAAGGCGAGGCAAGCGGGTGGGGCGAACGAATAAAAGCCTGGTCATTGCAAGTACTCTCCAGGGTCCTATGCGACCATCACAGATATTCTGCACAACTTTTACACACTGCTGTGTCCATGAAGGCCAGCCACTTATAAAATCCGCATGTCCTTAGGCAGGTCATGGAAATAGTAACCACACGGAATGCAGGTGGCTTTACATTAAATTCCAGGAAAAATAGGATTGGTGTTAGGTTTACGGTTAGGAGTACTTCTAGGGCTAGAACAACAGAATATTTGTACAGTTCCCGAAGTTTTGCGGATGACCAACTGAATTATGTGGGGTAGGGAGCTGCCTCTATTCCCATGTGCCGTCGAGCGTCCTGTAAACAATTCTGGCATTGCGCGCTATTAACATATGTGCGTGTGGGAATACGCACAAACACACACGATAAGGCTAGACAAGTTCAAGGTCATGAGGGAACGACTTTCATAAATCCGCCTTACTCCGCGGAAATAATATGAACGTCTCGTGCTGATCAAAACCGAAGGTCGAAAGCTAGCATTACTACTTATCCCCAGTGAAAATTAAGGAAATGATACGGCAGTTCATGCAATATGTGGTCCGGCACAACGATCAAACGGAACGAAATCTCAATATCAGATCTCATTTTATGGTAAGGAGGCCAAAGGACAGAAAATAAGCTATTAGAGTTCCCTTTGTGCTTTTCAGTACTATGTTCCGATAGCGCGAGTCCTCCGTTCACTCCTCGCTATCACCCTGACCAA